TAAGTGTTGTTTATGATAATAGGTATATTATATATAACAACATCCAATTTCAAGAAAAGTCTGTATAAAACTGTTAGTTCTCAAAAAGTATTTTTTGAGGGAAACACAGAACTATATTTCACAATTCTCTTTACACATAAAATTTTAAGTAATTTTTTGTTAATTGAACTAAGAATCAATGTAAAAATAAAATGCTTTTGAGATTTTCACACTAGCTTTTGCAAGGTTCAGAATATTAACCATTAACATCACTGAACCAAACCATTTTAATAATTTCCATTTCAAAGAGAAATCTAATCAAAGTGGTTTCAGGCATCCTAATTCTTCCAGAAATATTAACTATTATTTGCCATGCAAAGTGTGTGTTTTATCAGCCATGATTTAGTTAAGTTTCTTATATATTTTTTTTATAATCACACACACACACACATTGAGGAATGCTAATCTCATCTCATGGCAACTGACCCAAAGCACCTGGTTGGATTCAAGCAAGGTGTCAGTACTGTTATTAAACCACATCTTATCTCAATTGTTTTCTTTCAGCCAAAGCTGCACCAAACCTACCACCGGGTATGCCTATATTACCAAATCAGTATCTGATGCATAATCCATTACTGGTCAATGCTTATGTAAGTCATTTCATGGATCTGTTTATAGAACCGTAGTTCCTAGGCCCACCGTCTTGAACATAAACAAATTAGGTCATTTGGAGGCTGCACTAATTACCTGGGTACAGGTAATACAAACAATAGTAAGCTTGCAGGTTAGATAGGTTAGGTAAATTTACCTATTGCTTCACAGGGATAGTCAAAGTTTACTTTACTTTGCATTGAAGTTAATTTGTTGGTTTACACCTGGGTTTAGCATTTTGCATAAAAAAAACATTAAAATTTGAAAGGGTTGGGATTGGTTATGTAATAGTCAAAGTTTACTTTACTTTGCATTGAAGTCAATTTGTTGGTTTACACCTGGGTGGAGCATTTTACATATTAAAAAACATTAACATTTGAAAGGGTTGGGATTGGTTATGTAATAGTCAAAGTTTACTTTACTTTGCATTGAAGTCAATTTGTTGGTTTACACCTGGTGGAGCATTTTGCATAAAAAAACTTCAAAATTTGAAAGGGTTAGGATTGGTTATGCAACATTACACCTGGGATGGGCTTTCCCCTGACGAAAAAATATGCAATTTGGGATATAGTTTTCGACCATTCACAAGATAAGTTTACATGCCTGAAGTAATACATGTGTTTTGAAATTTTAAAAAAGTATTACTTTACTTTGGATGAATTTATATGGCCACTGGAAGCAAAGAAGATACAATTTATTCTTGTTGTTTTATTTTATTTAGTTTTGGTTAGTTCTAATTCCAACTATAGAGCAGCTATAAATACTCAGTTTAGCAAAGTTAAGCCACTTGAAGGATAATGTTGTTTTATTTTCTAGGCACCTCAATATTTTAATCTTGATGAAATGATTTTACAATCAAGGATGCCAATGGTGAGTATACCTGTCAATTGATTGACTAAAGTTGTTACTGGGCATATGAAGTGTTAAATCCATAAAGGCTATGAATTACAACTGTAACTGGTGACGTTCTTGAATATTACCAGGTTTGTTTGAATGATGACAAACAAAGCGCATTTTCTGAAATCTCTGATGAACATTTTAATCAGTGTAGCACTGACAAACATTACCTGGTTTATTCTGCTACCACAATTAGTAACCCTCATTTTGTCGACAACACAAAAAATATTAAATCTGTGAATTACTTTTTATTTTTAGTTTGCACAACAGACAGCACTTGCTACTGGACGTGATGCTAGCGGGCTCAGCAATACTGCCTACTCGGTAACAGAAGCAAGTAAATTTCAAAGAAC